ACCCCCAGCCTTGGGCTCTGCCTGCCTGTTGGCTTTTTTCTTACTTTTAATCAGAGCTGTGATTTCAGGCAGGTGAGAACACATTCACAGCTCAGGTCTCCTGGGCCAGCAGCCACTGCTCTGCTGTCACCCATACGCACTTCCTTGAAATCCAGTTTGCAACCAATTGGGCTTCTGCTGTAGCTCCTCTGGGGTTCGGATTTTGCCACTAACACTCCTCCATGTGCAATGCACAGCTGTGGATATGTTTTCAAGCATATGTTTCCAAGCCGTGTAGCTGAGACCCAGCAAGGAGCTGTCCCCATATCCATGGTGAACCTCAGACACACTCTCTCCACAATGCACCAGGTTTTGGGAGGATGTAAACCAAACTCAAACCCAAAGCACTGATTCCTAGGAGGACCTCTATGTCACTGAGGATCTCCTGCAAGTTTGTGAGTGCTCTAAGCTGCCAACCTGCCCACAGGTCTTCAGCAGCACCAACTTCATCCCCCACGTGATCATCAGCCAAGTGTATGGATGGCACTCACATCCAAAGAAGAAAGCAAAGGAAAAGCACTGGGAAAATGTTTTTTATTGCAAAAGGAGTGAAATGAAGTCTCTCTTAACCCTCACGCCATGCTGTATGGGTTGGCCACTGCTAGTGATGTCCAATGGCATAAGACAGCTATGGTTTGTGTGGTAATAATGGAAAAGGAAGGAAAAATATTATTTGGGGCAAAGGGGGTGATGTGGGGCAAAGCAGGCTCCTAAATGAGTCTCACATGCTCCATTCCTGGCCCTCCCATAATGACAAACATCCATTCCATCCATGTCCTTGCTGTCAGTGCCAGAAAAGGGGAACCATGGGGACAGTGGGGACAGTCAGGAGGACCTTCTGGAGAGCCCAAGGGAAGCTGAGAACAGGCTCCTCTTGCTCATCCCCTACAATCAGTCTTGAAGTGTGTGTCCTCTGAGAGCAAATCCCCAGACTCAGTGTTGATAAACCTTTTTTGGGGTGAATGTCAGTAGAAACAGGGCCACAACCGTAGAAATGTGTATGGTCCCATCCCTGGGGGCTAACACAACATTGGGGCTCACCTGGACATGGCCTTTTCCAGGCCAGCCCTAGGGCACAGCTGGTCTCTGCTGTCAGGACCTAAGGGAGGACAATCCTCAACCCAGTGGGATTTTCTGCCACCACTGCAAATGCGGAAGTGAAGTTACTGCCAGCTTCTCCTTTTAAAACATATATCAAAGCTGCAGGCAGCAAGCTTTAAATAAAACAACAATCTCAACCCTGATTTCAGTGAAGACTAGGGTAAGAAAAGCTGCAAATCTCCCTGAACCACCAGCCCCACCAATTTGGTACAGATGGACATAGTTAAACTTCTTTTTGTTTTCCAAAATTTTATCTCAATCAAGGCAATTCATGTTACAGTTTATACCAATTAGGAATTAGAAAAGTGGTTAAAAACAGACCCACCAGCATTACAGTCTGACAGAGGACAGCATGTACGAACACAAGCATCCAGAAAACCTGATACACAACAATGCAAGCTTTAAAATTCAATCACATAAGCATCATGTGTGAAAAGGCTGATTCCAAATTCCAAACCTTGTTTGGGGCCTTTTTCTTGGCTGAGACAAGCTAAACCTGGCTTTGGCCAGTGACCCATGGTGTAAATCAGAGAAATGTCCCTAGCAGCAGTTCTCAAGGTATCTGTGCAGAGCTTTTGGTCTGCACGGTCTGAGAGATCCTCAAGTCCTGCAGTGCTACGGCATAGTGTTAGAAATAGTGGTTTTGGTAAAAAGTTGGATGGAAAGGGCATCTAGAAGCCTGTGAGACAGCTTAAGGCAGCACTGCTGAGCCTATCCCCAACATCAGCTCATAGTCCTCTCAGCAGCTTTACCTTTCTCCTTGCTGGACGACTGAACAGCCATGTCCACTTGTGCCCTAATTACAGCATTTAGAAAAATAAGGGTATTCTATAATCTTACCTGTTCATTGATATATTTAAATAAAAGAAAATTATAACTTTGTTAATAAAATTTTTTTCCTTTATTTTTTTCCTTTTTTCCTTTCTTTTTGAGGGGAGGGGAAAAAAGACAGTGCATCTAATGGAGAATTTCCTCCATAACCTTCCTGACAGTGCTGAAACCACTGCAAGGAGACTGAAGGCACTCATCTGGCTGCTCCCATCATTTTAATAGTAGAAGGATACTAACAGAGATGCTATGTTTCTCCTCACACAGCCTCATTCCTCATGAGTGATGCATAAGGTGAGTGGCACAGAACCACAGGAAGAGAAGACAGTATCTCATGGTCATACCAGGATCCTTCCTATGAAGTCCTGTGCCAAGGATCCCAATTCTGCTGATCTCCCAGCTGAGCAACAACATCTCCTCCACCTAATTGGTGCCTTAACCTTTCATATTTTCCAGATTCTGTACTGCGTTAGTATACTCTGAACTTCATATAAAGTGTTAGCAAGTTCTCCTCACAGTTTAGTTAGACAAAACAATCCTTTTCCAGGCTGAGAACGAAGGACACTTGCAGCTTCAGGCCCAAAAAGTATAAAGCAAATTGAGGAGAGCAATCTGTGAGGATGGGACTTCATAAACTGAATCTGTAATTGGACAATTAACCCCAATATGTAAATGGACCAAAATTTATAAAAATGTGAAAACTCGTGACCTGTCATCCATCTTGGGTGTAGCCCTGGCCAGGCTCTTGTACTGCCCAAGGTGTATCCTTTGAAGGCCTTTTAATAAATACTTACTTTATTCCTTTAACACTGTCCAAGCCTCTGTTCTAGGTAGCCTCCAACGGCATTGTAATGACTCCCACGCCAAGGGATGACAAGTATTTCATGAGCAAAGGTTGAATGGGAAGAGCTGGTATTTCTCAAAGCATGGTCTTCATGCACTTCTGGGGGTACAGAAGCTCCCTCCACTCTCTGCCCAGACTCATCTCCTCACCTTCAATGCCACCCTGCAAGCAAGGACCAAATCCTGTCAGTGCCCTGATGAGTGACACTGAGATTCCAGGATTATTTCCTTGCCAGAGAGTGTCTGCAACTTGTAACATCACCATTATTTGCATTGGTGGCCAGAAGAAACTTGAGTCCTTCAGAATTAAAAGCCTGAGAAACAAACAGGCATCAGGAAATGCTTGTGTTCCAGCTAGGCAGGGACCTGTAAGGCTCCCCCACATCTCATTTTGAGATTAAACTATACATGGCAGATTCAGGTCTTAAGGGAGTCCATCAAACCAGACTTCCTCACATCCTAACTTCAAAAGCACTTCAGATTTTGCCCCTAACACTGAAATTTATCGTCCTGCACCCCATCACAACCCTCAAACTTAGTGCATTTCCTTTTCTGCCTCCTGAAAAGCTCTGTGGCAGGAGATGGGCTTTGAGAAAGATCCTCACTGGTACCCAACCCTACCTAAAACATGCACCATCTTCCTGGGTGACTGACTTGTGCCAGACCCATGCCCAGCCCAGACACAACTCCAGCAGAAGCCCCACAGATGCTGAGCTGTCCTTGCTGGCTGTAGCCTGGGCACAGTGCCCAACCCTTCCCAGCCATCACAATTCAATTCTGCAGAAGCTCATTAAAAATTCAGGGACTGACACATGTTCCCAACTGGGGCAGTGCTGGGAATTCGTGCCTTAGGGAAGAAGGCGGCGAGACTTCAATCCTGTCTGTCCTGCCTCAGGTCTCTGCAAGTGCATTTTCCCATACAAAACCAAATGGGAAATCTGCCAAAGAGGCAGCTGTTGGGGACTTGGGGTGCAGGATCACATCACCGTATGAGCCCTCCAGAAGCCTCTGACAGCAATCCCACCTCCAGCAACACCAGTGCTGCTTGAGAAGCTCCCTGAGACTCTCCCAGGGAAAGAGGAGGGCTGACTAAGGAAAACCCTCAACAAAATTATCACCTCTAACGGCGACCTGAGATGGGTATTAGCTTAACTTCGCGTTAGATGAGAACATTTCCGTGGGTGCAGTGAGAACAGCCGCTGGCACAGACCCATCAGTTCGTAGAGATGGTGTTTTCCACCCACAGGCAACCTGGCGACCAGCAAACAGCACTGTCAATCCATGACACGTGCCGCTTGCGGGAACCGGCTGTTCCCAGGGAAGCGCCGCATGGACTGCCTGAGGACAGCTTTGCTCCAGGCAGCCCTTCTGCCAGCAACAAACCTCATCTGTCCTTAAAAACCATAAAGCATGGTATCAGCAGGATAATCATGTAACCAAGTGGGGTCATAAATGCTTAAAAAATGGGACGTGCTGGTACAGGCGGCGCTGCTCTTGGAAAGCCAATGTTGATGCCTCAGGCAAAGCACACACACAAGAGCCTTGTAGTGGAAATCAAATGGGTGAGCAGGTGGGATGCAGCTGTCCCAGCAGGAAATAAGCAAACCATTCAGTTAAAACACATGGACATCACTTGAGTGACCTGGCCTGCCTGGTACCCAGGAAAGCAGGAGCATGGGGCAACTGTTAGACCAGCACCATGCTAGGCAAAAGCAGGAAAAAAATAGATGTGTGTGTGTATATATATATATATTTAACTCTATTTTGCTTTATGCTCTTAAAAATATCCATTTGAATATATTTTCCATATTATAAACCTTAGGGCAGGCTGTGCTGCAGCAATCTTCCCACAGCACACACCCCCATACCCAGTGCCAGGTGCTCTCACAAGACTAGGAATGTTCCCCACTGGCACTAAGGAACTTCCGACTCTTGTCTTCGAGAACTGAAAAGGTATTGGGTTTACTATGTGTCTGCAGACAGACAGGCAACTCCTTTCTGACCTATACAGATAAATTGCTGCCTACTGTAATCCAATCAGAGCCTACCACCAGACCCAAATTTAAAAAATCAAGATCAATCCCCCCCCCAAAGAAAATATTATCCCCATGAAGAGTGAAGTCTATTTAGTTCCCTTCCTCCAACTCAGTCTCAAATGAAATGTGCAATTAGAGTTATTATTTGTTAGAAAGTCCTAGGTAAGGCATGGTTATTCCAAAGCTGATGAAGAAGATCCTGTTAGGAAACCCAGAGGAAATAGGCAACTTCATCCAGGTCAACGGGATAGTCGGTGAGCAGCACTGGGGTCTTCTCAAACAGCTCCCCCTTGTAGCTGCGCCACTTGCCCGCTGGCAGGTAGACATCCCGCTCCTGCTTGCCCATCTCCAGCACGGGAGCCACCATGAGGGTGTCCCCAATGAGGAACTGGGAGTCGATCCGGTGAGTGGCCTCGTCGCGGGGCGAGATCCACCAGATGGGACGGATGATGGGGTCGCCGGTGTCGGTGACCTCCCCGGCCAGCTCCAGCAGCAGCGGGGCCACCAGCGACTC